CATTTTTAAGTGACATTCAACAAGCTGAACACTCTTAATACCTCACTGCAAGGTGCTAATAATATTATTGAAAGCATTTATTAGGAAAGTTGAACTGTGGCAGAGCAAAATGGAAAATTCAAATTTAGACGTTTCCTACTTTAAAACAATTTATTGAACGCAATAAAACATATTAGTGAAAACGTGAATTTTCTTTATTTCATTTTTAAGTGACATTCAACAAGCTGAACACTCTTAATACCTCACTGCAAGGTGCTAATAATATTATTGAAAGCATTTATTAGGAAAGTTGAACTGTGGCAGAGCAAAATGGAAAATTCAAATTTAGACGTTTCCTACTTTAAAACAATTTATTGAACGCAATAAAACATATTAGTGAAAACGTGAATTTTCTTTATTTTAAATCACCTTTCTTCTTTAAAATTTCACTTTAAGAACTATTTCTCAGATATGGATATTGAAAAATTTGATTGGATAAGGAACCCAATCGATGCTAAACGAATAGCTGGTACACTCGCTACTACTGAGGAGGAGCAAATAATTGCTCTCTCTTCTGACACTGCTTTAAAAATAAAATTCTCAATGTCTCTCTCTGAATTTTGGATCAGTGTACAAAATGAGTACAAAGAATTAAGCGAGAAGGCTATGAACATACTGATCCCATTAACATCTTATTTGTGCGAGTCAGGGTTTTCTGCAGCTGCTGCTATAAAAACAAATATCGATCAAAAGTAAATGTGGAACGAGAACTGAGAGTGGCTATCCTGACAATGAAACCCAGATTTAAAAAATTATGCAACATTAAACAAGCTCATCCTTCACATTAAAACGATTCCAAATTTGATATTTTTCATCTATTTCCAATAACAATTTAGTTGTCTAAAGTTATTGGCATATTTATTTCTTGTCCAATCCTAATCCCAATAAAATGATTAGCTTTACTTGTAGAGCAGTGAGGGTGGGGAGGGGGGTCACACAAATTCATTTAGCATTTTAAGGGGGTCACGGTATCACAAAGTTTAAGAACCCCTGATATATACAGTACCTGAGATTCCTTTCTCTGTGATGATGAGATCTGGTTTGATCCTGATCAAGTCCTCACAGATCTGTTGAATATACTCTTCCTCCATTTGCAAGATGCGTGCAAAGTCTTCCTCACGGGTAATTTCAATATCAGTCTGCACAGAAAGAGGTTGTAAGAGAGAGATAACTGGTTCTAAGACAGACTGAACAGAAATGATGTGAATCAGCCATTGATCAGATGAATAAGCCTGGGTGTCCTTCCATTATTGTAGCACAACAGCATTTAACTATTTATTAGAAACACTTCCCTGTCTTATGTATAATTTATTCATACTTGGCTGTATAAACACTTCTAGCTGCAACAAATCCTTAAAAAGCAAAAGGAAACATTCAAAACCCCTTGCCCATTAGGGCACTGTTGGCTCTTTACACTAGCTTCACACAAAAGAACTGCAGACATCTTCACACAAGACCTGCCTTACCTGGCTCTCTCCTTTCTTGTACTCCAGCGAACAGTCCAGCAGCACAATGCGTGGATTCTTGATATAGCGACGCATCCTTGGGTGAGTTACGTCTTTGTTTACCATGATTCCACGCAAGACACAAGAGTCTTCGATTATACCACCTGGTATCTGACAGACACATGTGAAGCACAGGTGAGAGTTACTGACGGAAATGAAAAGACAAGTAATTCTCTGGTGGACAGGAAAACTAATACATATTTGGCAGACTTTACTCTCTAACACGAAATCATTTTTAAAGTTTCAGCAAACAAACCAGTTTATACTTAAAAATGGGGTAGCTGCCTCAAGAAAACCAGCAAGGTTCTTAAGCTAGCTGGGATGAGACTCCCAAAACCATTTATTCACTCAACAGGTGACTACAATTTACAGAAGCACCTACAGAAGTTAGGCACCTGCTTCCCATTATTCTCTATGGAATAGAGATGTAAGCGACTAATCGCTTCCTTCCCTTCCCCCCGCCTTGCTGCTTCTATCACAAGGAGGCAGCGGGGTGGGGAAGGAGGAGAGGATTCTGGGAGGGAGCTGGCTTAAAAGCTGGTTCCCCTCACCTCCAGCTCTGTGGAACCTGGTTCCCCTCACCTCCAGCTCTGTGGAACCTGGGTCCAGTTGGGTTGGAACTCTGCATGGCACCCAGGGCCAGTGGGGAATCCCCTGCTCACCCCGGGCTCCACACGGTGTTTCAAAGCAGAAGCGCTTGCATGGAGCCCGGGGTCGGCGGGACTCCCCGCTGGCCCCGGGCTCCATGCAGTGTTTCAATTTTTGAAATGCATAAGAGCCCTTACTGGGGCTCATGTACATTTCAAAGGCGGAACGAGCTAATTCTTATTGACTAACTGAATAGCTGATGGAAATCCCATCGACTATTCAATTAGTTAACTGAAATTTAACATCACTACTAAGAAGTTAGGCAACACACTTGTTCAGATGCTTTCATAAATCCCACCAGGAGCTTAACTATTGGTGTAAATCTAGCTTCAGTTGTCCTCAAGTTTTAGCTCTTTCTTCACAATTTCTTTTGCACTCATTGACACAATGTTTTATTATCCCTTTTACAACTCCACAGCATTCTTGCAACATGTAACTTCTAGTTTTGATTGATGTCCTTTTTTCACTGTATGGTACAACAGGCTAAGTAGTTACACTTGAATACTAATTTTAGCCATCCTCTTTTTTAAGAACTGAATTCCAAAATAGGACTTCCCTTTCCAATAGCACCTTCCAAACACATTCACATCATTCAGATTTGAAAACGGAGGCACAAAGTAGGGATGTGACCTATGCCAGGCCACACAATTTAGTGGTACAGTCAGAAGTAGATTGGAGTCCCAACACTAACCACAAGAGATCAATTTTCTTCTCCACAAGACTCAATACTGGTTCCAATGCTTTACTTAAGAATTACTTTATAAGAGCATATGCCTATAAGCTTATTAGTAGAATGGAAAGCTCTCAGAAGCCTATTCCATTAAAATGGTTCTCTGTGCTTTAAAAAAAAAAAATCAAATGAATGGGCTTAAAACTCTACCTAGTTTCTGTACTGAAAACCAAATGTACACTCTGTCTCAAATACTTATGACTTATCCAGGTTATGGTAACCATGGTAGGGTAACCACACTGCAAGATGGCCTAAACTATAAATGCCTGAGAAGACACTGAAGGGACTATTTACATTCTAGTGCTTGTTATACTTTCTTAGAAGTCTGAAAATCAGATATTCCCCTCTCGCATCAATATTACTCTTAATTTGCCAAACAGTTTCTAAGACCTTAAAATTAATTCCTTCCCAGACTAGCATCAAAGGTGATAGCACAAAGTATAATATTTTCAAGGATTGAGTTCCACTTGACTCAGAAAAAGCAGAATACAAAACCTTTTCCACAAGGTTCAATATTATTTAGTATTTAGAATGATCATAATGTCTATTAGCCTCAGTAATAAACAGGGCCGCATTATGCTGGGTGAGGTACAGACAGAACATACATTGTAGCTTCAGAAAGTTGCTCTGCCATTAACAGGAGCTACAGAAACAAGCGAGTGTCCAAAGCATACCAACCTTTTCTACTTTTGCATAATTCTTGATGTCAATTTCCTTTCTGCCATTTTCTTCAAACTCCACAGTCTTGACAGCATCAAGAGCAATGCCACAGGCCAAGTCAGACCAGTGGCTTATCGCCTTGGTGTTTATAGCACTCTTTATTATCTTCAGCAATATCTCTCTGTTGCTCACATCAACTGGAGTGCTAGAGCAAAGAAAACACAGCACATTATTCACAGTACGGAGAAAAAAATTATTCAATAATCCAGTCCAGCTCTCTGAAATTGCAGAACTATTCCCTATAGAAAGTGATTCTACCCATGCTGGAAGATATTCTTAAGCACGTCTGATCTTTAACTAAGAAGATTACTGTGGGTCTGTTCACAGACAATAGTCTGAAGGTACCTCAATTCAAATATCTGTTCAATGTACTATGATGACTAACAGACTGCTACATAGAAATACACTTCTTACAACATCCTTCCTCCTAAATACAGTCATGAGAACCAGGTTTACTTTATTGCCGTTGACGCTTGCTGAGCTCATGGTAACTTGTGTAGCTATACTTGTGTGCTTCTAGACCTCTCAATTACATTTTGCTGCGTTGAATAACCAGAATTTCATATTTAACCAGAGAACTAACTTCATAAGTCTCCTAGTCTTTTAAGGACTCCAAATCCAAAAAAAGACTAACAGATTTATTAGGGCATAAGCTTTTGAGAGTAAAACCCATTTTATCAGATGAACTGAAGTGGAAGTTAAAAGAAGCAGGGGTATATATCCAAATCCAAAGACCACTGCTCACCTGATTTTGTTCAGACTGCTGATCATATCATCCAGAGCTTTACGGTAAGCACCAATGATCACGGTTGGATGCATCTGCTGTTCTAGGAAGTGTTCAGCAACAGCCAACATCTCTCCAGCTAAACAAAAACACAAAGACAAGTTAGAACTGTTGGCACATCAAAAGTACACCTAAAGCACCTGCTACCTAGTCTAGGAGCCTTGTAATCACAAACACTTTTCTCGCTCCTATATTTAATCACGATCATTTGTTTAAACTAGAACGTAACCTCTTGAGAGTGGGGAATTGTTTGCCAGTACATGACCAGTGGTAGTGAGTCTCAAAGCCCAGGTCAACTGACTCAGGCTTGTGCTCTGGGATGAAAAAGAGCAATGCAGACATTTAGGTTCAGGCTGGAACCTGACCTCTGAAATCTGGTGGGAGGGAACGGTTTCAGAGCCTGGGACTCCAGCCCGAGCATCTACACTGCTATTTTTAGCACTGCAGTCTGATCCCAACTCAGTTAACCTGGTCTCAGACTCACTGTCACATTTCCCTTGCCCACCTCCTCTCTCCCCCACCACCCTGTGTAGACATACCTTTATTTGCATGTTAAAAGCCTAGCTCTTTTTTGCTGATAAAAACAAACCCAACATATTTACACTTTCCCTAGCATAAAACTATTAACAAGTGCTCTGAGCATGCTCCCTGCATCCCCATGAGCAGGGCTCGACAAATAACGTAATCTTCTCGCCCGTGGCAAGTAGATTACAACCCAGAAGAGCTGGCGCAGAGCGATCTGCGCATGCGCAGAACACAGAATCGCGCGAAACCGCGCAGCTGGCGAACAGGGCTCGCCGCCGCTTGGCAAGCCCTGCCCATGAGCAAATATGGGATGTGGACTATGTAATAGGAGTTTCTCAGAAACCCAACCTGCAAAAGAGTCAAGAAAATTTTAAATGGCTGAAATGCTTGGAGGCATATTGTGGGGAAGTAGGTGCCTCTAAGATAGCAACTCTACAGTGCCAAATGCTTAGCCATTAACCATTCACCCAGTCACAGGGCAAGATGCCCAAAGTTTCCACTTTGCTTGCCAAAGACAGAAATTACGAAGCCTAGAAAAAGGGGTCATAATCTGAGTCAGCCTTTGTTAATATCTTACAAATAGAAGAGCATCTTTGTGAATGTTAAAAAGAATATCACTGTGCAATGCTATTAACCAAAACACAATAGTAGTTGCAACCATTCCCTGATTGAAAGCATGCGCTCACCAAGGATAATTACAGATGTGGTCCCATCTCCAACCTCTTCATCCTGAGTACGGCTGATCTCGATCATGGATTTTGCAGCCGGGTGCTGGACTTGAATCTGCATGGAAGAAAACAAAATGGGAATCCTTGGTTTGGAATGCAAGGTACTTGTTGGCATTTAGAGGAAATGCAAAATTTAAAGTCAGTTGTGAGCATGGAAAAGGGTTTCACCCCATCTTGGCAAAGAATTTTCTCATTACAGAGGCAGTAGATGAAATGTTATTTACGTCACATCTCCAGCAGATTTCTAGGTATTAGGAATATTCATTGCTATTTTTCCACAAAGCACTTGTTAAATATCAAGATCAGTGTCTCTCTTGCTGAATGCCTCGGCTGGTGAAAGCTAGTGATGCATGCAATACACAATTATAACAATAATTAAAGTGGACATTACAATAACCTTGTAAAACCATTATGAAAATGTATTGCCCCAAGTGCAACATATCCTTATGTATAGCAAGGATAATTAAATCAATCAGGGATATTTTATTCATCCCAAGCAAGTAATTGACTTACCCTACAATACAAATTCTCCTTTTCAATTAAAACAGAGGTGTCATTTGTAAAACTTTCAGTTATCAGGATTTAATAGCAATTATACACACCAGGCCAGGGACCTTGCCTCTAACACAGGGGTGTCCAAACTTTTTTCAAAGAGGGCCAGATTTGATGAAGTGAACATGCGTGAGGGCCGACCATTTTGCTTGACATTCTCTGAACCATTAAAATTAAATGCAAATTAACTATTTTATGCAAAGTTTATTGCAAACGGCATACTTTTCATTTCGTCACATGGATGACAAATATAAACAGGTGTTAAATCACTCTGCCTTTCATATCTGAAGGCCAGATGAAAAAAAAATCCCGGAAGCTGAAATATATGTCAGGAACATTGTAAAGTACATTACATATTATTGGTAATAAAGGTTGTCTGTCAACTTTTAAGTTAAAAAAATATGAACAGGAACATAACACCAAGTATACATGTTGTGTCCAAATATATTTATAACTGATTTAGACCAACTGACATTAACTGAGATTTTACAATGTATTCATCTCAATACATATGGATTCGTTGGGGGCCATAAAAGATAGATATTGCCAAATTACCTGTGGGGCCGTATTAAACCAGAACACGGGTCGCAATTGGCCCGCGGGCCGGACTTTGGACATGCCTGCTCTAACATGTCAGTAACACACCTCCCGCTGTCAGCACTACATAAGTTACTGTCATAATGGCACAAAGATAAAATTCAGAAGAAAAACCTACTCTCAGGGCATATGTGCATTTAAGAGAATTTAATCCCAACCAGGCAATTGTAATGTCTGTCACATGAGACTCTTCATCACGCCAAGAGAAGAAAGTGAATTCAGTATGAACCTTATTATTCTCAAATTCATTGGGCATAATTGATCTCAGAGCTCCATTTGCAATAATCTTCCATGTTTTGTGTTACTTCAAGCTTTTAGTTCCACAGCCTGAGGTGAAGGAAAGTCTTTGTACAGCTACAGCAGATTTCACTTTAGCAACTTTCTAGTGTATGGCTCCCCAGCAGTCACTCCCCAGCAGTCACTAAGAAAAATGAGCACTGAGACATGCCTTCATTGGCAGTAGCGCCAAAAACCTGCCTGTTGCCAGTGCTTAGCATATCCCTGCACTTCCTTCCAGGGCTGAAGCCCTGCAAAGCTGCTTTTTAGGGCTGCAGCCAGGGAAGGAAGCACTGGGGCTGCACGGTACCTAATGTTGGAACAGCAGGCAGCCTGGAGAGTGCACAGAGAGGTACCAGACAGCCTCAAAAGGTCCCAGTGTCCTCATTCCTTATAGAAAGCTCAGATTCTGGACAGCAGGCTCCCTTTCCACTGCTGACTGCACAGAGCCTATCATGGGGCCCAGGCTTTGCACATTCAAGGAATTCTATCCCTGGCTGCAGTTCAGCAAATATGGCAGCAGCTAGGCTTGCCATATGGAGGTGGGAATGCCAAGAGCCTGCATGGCAAAAAAAAGTTGCCAATAAATAGCAAGCCTGTTGCCAATATCTACACTAGTTAACCCTGTAGTCATTTAGACAGTGTTGGTTCTAGATTAAATACATCCATTACAGGAAAGTGGTCACGGAAGAGGTTACTAGCAGAATCTACTGTATTAGGATTGTACAGGGTTGGGGACTTGGTTTAGGATTTTTGTTTTGTATGCCACAAACATATTTTAGTATAAACATTTCTTAGCTCTACTGAAACAACCCTCCTTAGCCAACCACAATAAAAACAGAAACAGTGCAATGGGATCTGATTTTCAGATATTAACATTGATTGTCTTTGTAATTTAAAGCAACCAAATATTTCAATTGCAAAGCAACAAAAGCTCCAAAGATAAGTCTGTAAGTTATACATGTATATGCATTTTATCATGTGTATATCCCCTGAAATACTTTTATGTACCAAGAACAAGGCTATAAATAATTCTATTAAGAGAAAATTAGTAGCAACAAGAACTCAACGAATTAATTTGTCCATCTTTTGTCTGGAGTAAGGATGTTAAGAAACAGGTAACTGACTAATCGTGTAGTCGATACAATTTGCACAGGTAGCCCAACTCCTAATACATTTAAACTGCAAAGCCGCAGTGGGGGAAGGTCCGGGACCGACCATGAGCCAGGACTGCTCAGTCCCAGCTCTCGCTAAGTCCTGGACCACTCCGCCTTTGCCCTTCCCCGCCGCTTCCATCACCTGTGGAGACAGTGCTGGGGGAACTGGCTTTTAAGTAGTGACTCAACTACCTGGAGGGAGAGTGTGCTATTTAAGTATTATGTAAGGACTAGGTATTTTTTTCAGTGATTTAGACAACTCTAGAACATGTACATTGGCATTTTAATGTTAAATCATTGAATATCTACTGAAGAGGTATGAAAACTGGACTCACTTCTCTAAGAATTGCATTGCCATCATTGGTCATCACAATTCCACCCATTGGGTCCAGAAGCATCTACATGAGAGAAGAGAAGCAGTATTTATATTGATTTTTAAGATACACAGCATTTCTAAGCACAGTCCAGTGCACAGACTACAACAAAAGCTCTTACTTTCATCATAGCTCTTGGTCCCAAACATGTTCGAATAATGTCAGCAATGGTCTAAAATGAAAGAGAATGAGATAATACATTAGTTTTGAACAGCTTCTGTATGTTCTTCCCTCCCCATTTTTAAGCAAAGCTCATGGAGGGGGGAGGGGGGAATATATCATGTAATAAGCTACTAAGCTGAATTTCATAGTTTTTATGCCAAAAAGAGACCCATGTTAATATTTAGAGTGTGGAGTAGAGAAAAAAATAATCCTAGTCTGTACTATCTCAGTTCATTAACGATTTATTACTGGGCCTCTTTGCCACTATGTATGATCTTTGTGTGTTAGCTCAATGACAATATATTCCAACTAACAGCATCAAGAGTTAAACATAAGCAGGCAAGGTTTGAAACTCCAATTTCTAATATAGCTATAATAGTACTAGTTAGGCAACTGATGTATACTTAGTAAAGAAAGCATATATACAGATGGCAGACACTTTAGTTTCAAGCCAGCTAGTGTGTGGGATAAAACTGCTGCCCTGCTCATGTATGATTTAATATTGTGATATTAACTGCTGAAAAATATAAGCAATACTAAAGGTAGGAAGGCAATCCCTATAGGCAGTGCTCGCCAAGCGGCAGCAAGCCCCACTCACGAACCGCACAGAATCATGTGCTGCGCGGCCGTGCCAAGCAAAAATCTACTCGCCACAGGCAAGAAGACTGCTCTAACTGTCAAGCCCTGCCTATAGGTATGCGAATACATAAACTGTCCATTGTGAAAAGTATATATACACACCTTCCCGTGAAGCATCCAGATTAAGCCAGTGTCAGGGATAAGATATTGAATAAGATGGACCCATGGACCAGTCTAGTAATGCACTGGCTATGAAGGTTGCTTCTTTATGCATTGTCTCATGAAATGTTACAATATAAACATGCAATTAATCAGTACTGAGGTAGCTACATTCCAGTATTTAAGATTTTGTTTGTACTGAGCACCTTTTATACACCAGTTTCCAGCACTAAACATTTTACAAAGAAATAGACAGGACTTAGATAGCTGTGTATTGCCTAGCTCTGTGGTTACCAACCCATCGATTTTGATCAACTGGTCGACTGGGAGGTATTCAGGCTCCCGCCCCCCCCCCCCCCCCCCCCACCTCCAATGACAATGGAGGTAGCACCAGCTTCCTGCGGAGTGAAAGGAAGTCCAGCTGCTGTGCGCCACTTCTGTGGTTTCAGGAAGGGCGCTGGCTGCTCCCCCTCTCCCAAACAGCAGGTGCGGTACCTGAAAGGCCAGGTCTGTGGCGTGCTGGGACACCCGGGGGGAGGGAGGGGGTTAGGAGTCCCTGGAGAGGTGCATGCCAGGAGTCCCCAGAGGTGGCACGTGCCGGGGACTTCCTGCACAGGGGGTGAGGGGTAGGAGCTCCTGATGGAGGTGCATGCCGGGGCTTCCCTCCTCTGCAGCGGGGAGGGGCTAGGAGTTCCTGAAGGAGGCGAGCGTTGGGGACTCCCTGTCCCCTGCTCCCACTGGCACCCTTCCCCAGTACCATGTCCCCTGCTCTCACCAGCACAATTGGGGCCAAATTAGTGAGGCTTGTGGGGGGTTTGGATGAGTTTTTTTTTGCGGGTCACTGACCCGCGACTCAAAACAGGTTCCCCACCCTTCTCATAAAGACAATGCTAAAACTTTTTGTGTTTGACATAATATTTTATTTAAAAATGAAGCCTGGCCAACAAACCTCATTTGGCTTCAGCATCGTAACAAACCTCATTTGGCTTCAGCATCGTAACACTCCTGTACCAACCCCACTGACCCCAAATCAGAGCCTATCATACACTGGGACCCCCCTGTCCTGAGCCTCTTACATCCCCAAACTCCTACACCCCCACATCCTCAGTCTTCTGCCACAAGACTTCTGCACCCTCCACACACCGCAGATCTGTGCCCTGAGTCCATAATACTCCTAACCTCCCTGCCCTGAGCTCCTCACACACTCCAACCCAAACTGCACCCTTATATCCACAACCCTGTGGCTTGCTCAGCACCCCAACACTCCCCAGCCTGGAGTCCCCTCCCCAAGCCAGCATCCTCTTCCCCACCTCCTCCAGCATCCAAATTCCCTCCCAGAGCTTGCACCTCTCACCCTTTCCCACACCCAAATCCCTCACTCCCACCCCAGAGCCCACACATCCTGTCTCAACCCAGTGAGGGTACGGCTAGACTACAAGAGTTTTTCCAGGATGCCAGAGGTATCCCGGAAAAACTCTTCTGCATCCAGGGTCGCGTTTGTTTTTCCACTTTATTTAGCAGAAGAGCAAACATGCACGAGAGAAAAGGGGTTTTTATGACATTTGGCCCAATGTAGACAGGCCAAATGTTTGAAAACCGTCTTCCTACAGAAGAATTGAAAAAAAAAAAAAGCAGCAGTGTAGCCATACCCTGAGAGTGTATAAGGGCTGGGGATAACAAGTGATGGACAGGAGGAGAACAGAGAGGGCGGGGCTTCAAGAAAGGGGTGGGGTTTGGGGGGGGAAGGATGGGGCAGTAGATCTTGGCTTGTTTGACATTTAAAAAATTATCTTGAGTGTAAAAAGGTTTGAGACCACTGGCCTAAATGTCATGTAACAGGTTACAAATTCCTATGCACACTGTGCCTGTTGAAAGAATTAGGTGTGTAGTTTCTGCTTTTAATCTTCATTTAAATAACACTGAAGAATTTAACTGATTCAGACCTAGTCTAATGTTTCAATTATTGCTTTACACTCTTAAATATGAGGCTACCCAGTCTGATTCTAAGCTGTCTCCTTTTAATATGCTGGGATCAGCACTGAGGGTTTCATTTACACATTAGTGCTTCAAAATTCCAAATGGACTTGAATAATCTCGTCTAACTACACAGAAAATGCAGACCTTGTAATTAACACAAATGACAATTATTTTAGAGTTCTTTGGATGCAGCAAGAGTATGATTTAACCAGGCATGACAATATAACATGAAGGCTAAGATAACAGTCACTTCTACTCGGACATCAGACACAACACAGTAAAACCTATGTTATCCAGTACATCCGGGGATTAGGTGGTGCGGGGGCCGGGATGTGGCCTGCTAGGGAGAGGAGGGCCACGAGCCACTGGCGGGGGGGGGGGGGGGGGGGGGGGGGGGGAGGGT